GCAAAAGTCCAAGATATTCCATTTACAAGCAAGTCTACCTGGAAACAAGTACTTGTAAGTTACCTTTGACATCAACAACAAGCTCCTATAGTGAGTAAGACAAACCAGCCAACAAATCACAGCTGACAAGCGACCTGATCAAAGTACAAAGTGGCTCCTAAATGATGCATTGGCTGTGCCCTAAACATGGAAAAAAAGCAAACTCTTCCCAAAGATGTCAATTCCTGGGTGCAGCTTGGCAATGAAACTTGAAAGCGTATTTTGGAGACTTTACTTCTTCTTAAGAAGAAAAAAAGATAAAGGCTGAAGCCTGACCAAAAAAAATCAAAGACACCTGAAGGGAGAGGCACCATTTACTGTGTGTACCCGCAAGCAGCTGAAGTCTGGGTTCCCTGGCATTTCAGCGATGAAGGACGTGGCCAGTCAGAGACCAGCACGCTAATGATACTGGAGTCACAGTTGCTGTGTCTGCTGGTTGCCTTTGCTCTGATGGTTCCCAAACGTCTACCCTGGATACAAGGGGCCTATGCTGGACAGTGTCTTTGGATCAAAGCCAACACTCCAAACAGCTATAGTAAACATACACGCACACAGGCCCTGATATACAAATTCTACTGCTGAGGCACCAGAAACCCATCTTTAGAAACAGTAAACATTTCATGAAAGAAGAACCTCCCTCCCCAAAAACACTAAGTTCAGAAACTCTAAGAAAATTCAGGAACTATATCACTTCTTGGGCTAATTAGAATGAAGTGGGGTAGTCAAGATTCAACTAGAGAAGGCTAGTGAAGTGTGTCTGAATGCATATGTCCGTGTGAGAGCCCCGTACAGAGGGGGACCAGCTCAGTACCATGATGACTTGACCTACCTCATTCTCTTTCTTACTACAGTAGGCTCATGTTGTAAAAGAGGAGTCACTCTGAGAATCAGGTATCTTCTAGAGGCTCAGTGAGTTGCTAACTCTTACCAACTGGTGAGCACTCCCCAAGGATCTGGCGGTGGAAAGAGGAGACACACAGCCACCACCTGACATTCAGCTTCTGTAGTAATAGTGCAACACACAACAGGCAAGAATACCTCAAATTCCCAAAGCTACTAAAAAACTAAAACTCACTCCAATTTTAACATCTGGGCTTTTAAGTTGCAATTAATTTCCTCAATTTATTTTTCAAGTGTAAGAGACAAACTGGCTTCTACGGAGACTGGAAATTCCTGGGCAAAGCTGAAGTCCTCACTCTTCCCCAGCCCTAGGAAATTTTAAGAACACGAATAGGGTCAGCTGAGAGTCAAATTTCTTGTACTGCTTTGTCTTTCACTAAATTCCTAACCAAAGCAGCTGGAAAGGCTGAATGATAAGCAGTGTTAATGTAGCAGCAAGATGGGAAGGCAAAAGTAAAGACTCAAGACCATACTCTCCTCCTATGTGAAGACCCAGGTCTCACTGTGGTTTCAATATTCAGTGAACCACCACCCTGGAGGTTGCTACTCCACACCCACAGGATAAAGCAAAATGGCATTGAGCCAGTTAGCACACACTTCAAGGAACCCATTGTACTGAGAAGTTTGGGGGAGACCGGGTTGTGCACTGATTTAAAAGCTTTTTGTTAGAATTAGCTAAACCTCAACTGTGTTTTAAAACACATGCCCAAACCACTCAGAAATATTTTTATTTCCTCGGTTGTAAATTGGGAAAGTCTACTGCTTATTCCTTTACGCCTATACATTTAGACACATGTTCAATCCCAGGGCTGACCAGGGCAGCCTGGTTGACAATGGTCTCTCCCAGGGTGGCCAAGAGGGCTTGCCGCTAGTGGCCACAGGCTATGGTTTAGTACACTAGTGCTCCATGACCCACTTATTACTCCACACAATGACACGAAAATGTGTGACTTACCCTTTTCATCAGGGGGAGGAGTCTAAATTCCTATTGACTTAATATATTATGGTAAATTCTCAATTATGCATGGCATATGAGCAAAAAGGCATAGAGCTGATCCAAAAAGGCATTCTATGAATCACTTCACTGGTTTAGAAATACATTATGATTCTTTTTGTGGCCAAGCCATAGCTGAGCTTACAAGGGTTTGGTTTTTTTCTTTTTCATTAGACATATTTATTCATTTGTTGAAAATCTCTTCCATGCCAGGAAACATGCTAGGTGGGAGATGGCAGCAAAGGAGCTCACAGCCTAGAGGAAAAAGTTGTGTGCGAACGCAGAAGTAAAGCTCACCTGGCAAGCGAGTGGCCGCATGAGCCGAAAAGCAGTGATGGGTTCTGCTGTAAAGCCGGGGGAAAGACTATGCTCCACAAAGCCTCTCGCTGAAGCAGTCTGACAATAACAAATGAAAACTAAAATTCTGAAAAGAATTCCAAAGGACCAACTCACATGGATGGGAGAAGGGAGCCCGTCTCAAAGAAAAGAATTTGGTAGTGAGAAGGCCAGCAACAAACGACCAGGAGAAAGCCAGTCAAGTACACATCTTCACCCCATTAAGTCTCAACTTCATACCTTACAGGTAATGTCTCCCTACATATACAGATTTCCTTGGTATGAATGAGAACTTTGGGTGGTCATGAGAGCGCATCATGATGGCTAGAGTTTTCCTACAACCCACCTGAGCATGACCTGGTCCTTACCTGTATGAGCGCCCTTTCACAAGGAGCAAAAACCACAATCCAGCCGTAAATTCAAGAGTTTGCTTCCCAGCTTACCTGAAAAACAACAGGAAAGGGCCATTTTTGTTAATTTGGAACAAGCAGTCTTTTAATGTTTCCAGGGCAGACCTGCAGACCTTGCCCAGGGCTCTTCAGTCTCCAAGCATAAAGCCTGGCTGGGGGAGGGTGGGTCACAGAGACTTGGGTTAAAACCCCAGTGTTGGAACTCAGTGACAGGGTAACTGAAAGCCAGGTACACAGCCTACCTGTGCCTTGGTTTCCTCCCTTGCAGCACCCATCTCACAGAACAACCATGCCATGCCTAGTCATATGAATGAATATGTGATGGGTTCACCGCCCCTGGGAGCTTATAATCCAGAGAGACAAAGAAATAAACAGGCAGTCATCAGGAGCCTGATGCAGCTGATAAGAGCTGAAGAGAGAAAAATACAAGGTGATGTGAAGCCTTTACAGAAGCCCTAGCTGGTCCCAGTGGGGTCAAAGGAAGCTCGCCAGAGCCGGTGATGGCTATGCTGAGGTCTGCCAAGCAGGAGTTGTCCAGACTAAGAGGACAAGCAAACAGCCTGCCAGGTAGAGGCACCCACAAAATGAGATGCCCTGGAAGCAAGAAGAATATAGTGAGTTCGCCAAAGAAAGGGGTCAGTGACCACTGGAGTATTTCGGGGGCCAAGAGGAAGACTGGCAAGACATGTAGCTGTAACAGGAGGGAATCACAAAAGGCCATGCAGCCATTCTAGGAGAATAAGGCCAAGGCGAGTCTATGAAGGGTCTTACACAGGAAAGTAACATGGTCCAGGAACACCACAGACAAGAAGGTGCCAGAGGGAGGCAATGAGAGTCCAACTCAGCTACCCCGAATGCCATAGTTGGTCTGTGTAGGGAGGACTGAGGGGGGGGGGGCTCTAGGGCTAGGGCCCCTCTGGCACTCCAGGGAACCGCTACTTCTGAATTACTATCTCCTCTGGCCTGGGGCAATTCCCCACAGGCAGACACCCCATGGGGAGTGTCCTGCCCCAACACACCCTCCAGGAAGTCCACGAGTGCCTGGTGTCACAGTGGTTCTCAGAGTGTGGCCCCCAGACCAACAGCAGCAGCATCAACTAGGAATGTGTTAGAAATGCAAATTCTCAGCCCATCCCAGACCTAGCAACTCAATCTCTGAAGGTGGGGCCCAGCTGTGTGTGTTATTAAAAGCCCTCCAGGGGTGTGTGTGGGAGGTTTAGTCAATTAAGCTTCTGCCTTCTGCTCAGGTCATGATCCCAGGGTCCTGGGACTGAACCCCATGTTGGGCCCCCTGCTCAGTGGGGAGCCTGCTTTTCCCTCTCCTCCCTGCTCATGCTCTCTCTCTCAAATAAATAAACAGTATCTCTAGGATAGATAGATAGATAGATAGATAGATAGATAGATAGATAGATAGATAGATAGGAGCCCTCCAGGTGATTCATTTTTATTTCTTTTTAAAGACTTTTTATTTATTTATTCATCGGGGGGAGGGCAGAGACACAGGCAGAGGGAGAAACAGGCTACATGCTGGGAGCCCGAGCAGGACTCGATCCCAGGTCTCCAGGACCACACCCTGGGCTGAAGGCGGCGCAACCACGGAGCCACTAGGGCTGCCCCCTCCAGGTGATTCAGATGCTCCCTAAAGGCAGTAAGCACTAAGTGGGTGCGGTATCAGGACAGGGGTTGGGGAGAGCATAGGGCTGGCCTGGCCTATTACTTACAATGTTCATTTTTGTTTACAAGAAAATACATAACTTTGTTGGTGCTTGGAACCTCTCCTAGCCCTGCAGACTGATGGGTAGAGAGGCCAGGGCCCACCGCTGCGGGAGGATTTCATTTCCCCAAGAAATGCCACATCCCCTTCTGCAGGCTGCATTTGCTTTAGGGCAGGCAAAAGGAACTCCAGCATCAGGAAAGTGGACACACACTTCTCTCACTTATTTACTCATTCATTCATTCATTTTTATTTTTTTAAAGGTTTCTGTTTTTTTTTTTTTTAAGGTTTTTAAAGTAATCTCTGTACCCAACGTGGGACTCAAACTCACAACCCCGAGATCAAGAGCTGCGTGCTCTTCCAGCTGAGACAGCCAGGCGCCTCTCATTCATTGATTTTTATTTGTTTTATTTTTTTAAAATTTTATTTATTTATTTATGGCAGTCACACACACAGAGAGAGAGAGGCAGAGACACAGGCAGAGGGAGAAGCAGGCTCCATGCACCGGGAGCCCGACGTGGGATTCGATCCCGGGTCTCCAGGATTGCGCCCTGGGCCAAAGGCAGGTGCTAAACCGCTGCGCCACCCAGGGATCCCTCATTGATTTTTAAATACGGAATGCTTCGCAGATTTGTCTGCCGTCCTTGTGCAGGGGCCACACTCATCTCTGTATCGTTCCACCTTTAGTATACATGCTGCCGAAGTGAGCACACACTTCTCCTTTCAGACAATGCTTCTCCTCCCACCTAGATATAGAACTGACCACTCCAGAAAAGAAACAGTCCATCCAGAAAGCTCCATGTGGTTGCATGCAAGGGTCAGGTTTCTTTCTGGAGTGTGGAGCACCCTCTGTGGTTACAGAGATACCAACGCCCAGGAGCCATCAAGTAATTCGAGGTTGAGAAAAGCTCGATTCAGCTCCCTCTCTCTCTGAATATCTATCTTCTCTAAGAAAGAAAAAAATTACCCTTCCTCCCAATAAAAGTCTATTTCTCTAAAGAGCAGACAAATTTTTATAGTCTTATGTTTCTATAGTGCTTGCTTTTCTTTCCAAAACATATCTCCAAAACATAAACACAGTATTCGGGTCAACAGAGATCACGGGGATACACCGCGTGCCCCAACCTCACTCAGCTTCCGGAGTCGGCCCCTCTTGGGGCAAAGCCACAGCGAGAGTGGCTGAGCTGCAGGATGTCCAGCAGGTCAAGCAAACCGTGGAGTCCAGGAGCACAGCAATGCTGCAAAATCCCCAGCCTCCGCTACAACGCACCCGAAGGCCGCACAGCCCAGCTCCCCGGCCTCCACAGCTGCTCTGTGCAGGTGGTGCCCACGCCGTCTAACAGCCTCTCGTGGGCCCCACATGGCCGATCCACCCTGCACCCCTCACTGCCCACACCAGGTAACTACTGTTCGCCATCTCCCCTACCAGACTCTCAGCTCCCTGAGGGGCTCAGGAAGCTTGTGCTGAACAAATGACTGAATACCCAGACCGACAGACTCCCCTACAATAATAATTTCAGGCCTAGATTCTTCCCCTCATGTTCTCTAGCCCAAAGAGGTAAGGTGACTTGTCCAAGGTCACTGAACAAGTTCATGGTCACACCACGGGAGGCAGGATAGATGGTTCTCAGTGCTTTCCAACACTCACAGGCTGTGTGTTCCCACCTTTCCTGGGCACCAGGAAACCAGCACTCCTTGAAGACAAAGCTATTTTATTTGTAATAGAGTGGGTTGGTTTGGTGTGTGTTTCATCTCAAGACTCTGCCCAAGAGCATGAAGGAACATCTTGTGAATCTTAGAATTAGGGCCCTAAGCCCAATCTAAAGACACAGCAGGGGCTCTGGGGGCAGCAGGGGTAGGAAATGGCCATCAATGAGGGTGTGGGTCAGTCTTCATAAAACTTTCCAGAGTTCTGGTGCCTGGGATGTACTTCTGTGTAACTTGTCTATCATTTCAGGCCTATTCAGCCAGCAGGGGCAAATATAATCTCCCAACTCATCATCATGCTATTCTGAAAACACACTGTAACATTCAAACAAGCTCTGGCTTTGGTAAGAGAGAGGATGTCCAAGTTCAGAGTTCAGCCAGGAACTATGAACTATTCTTTGCAGATAAGAGAGAGAAAGCATGAGACAACACACACTTTCTAGGTGGCACAGGGTCTCAGAGGAGTCAAGCCCTTCTCAGAATGGACTGGGAAAAAGCCCCTATGTAGCGGAAGGAGGGGCTCTCCTACTGGCCAAGTTCACCTGTTAATAAGCAGGCTGGGAAACTGAATAATTTCCCAAGCTTTTCTCTGAAAATTAAACGGACTTTTAAAAAAGAACAAAACAATCCCAAGTATAATCACAATGTTTAATTTTAGCTCTCTTACATAAATTACCTGGCTTTTCATTACAACTGGTCAAGTATATTTGAACTAGCCTCATGAGATAGAAACATGCCACACACATGATCAAGGCTATCCGAGTCCCTTATAACACAGCATGTGTGCACGCACGCGTGCATGCACACACACACAGTGAACAAGGACCTGTTCTTTCTGGTGCCCTCCCAGGTACCCTAGCTGCTGGTGACTGCCCTACGTGCCTGCTGCCTCTAGCCATCCTCTGTGGCACTGCTCTCCTTGTCCAGCGCCCACACTTCACCCCATCAAAGTCAGAGTCCACTCTCTTCATCCACTGATCTGAGCTAATTGCTTTTGAGAAGCATCTGATGAAGTTATTCTTGTTAAGGTGTAAATAAGAAATGTATTACCTGTCCTACTGAATAAGAGGTTTAAAGAGAAGCATTTCACCCAAATTTCTCTAATGACAGAATTTAAGGCACGACAGTTAAGTGAATTCCACTCTATATTTAATAGATCTGTTTATTACTCCCACTCAGCAGCTCAGGGCGGGGGAGGGGGGGTTGATGCTGTCATACATAATTCAAGACATACCAGGAATCTTCTTAATCTCAGTGACCGTCTTTAACACCATCCCTACGGGGACGTCCCTGACAGATGTTGCAGGTGTACCTGTCAGGAAATCACTAGTAATAAAGATTCAAATAACCACAGATCTCTGGCATGAGGGCTGCTTCTAATGTAGTTTTGATGGTAATGTAAGAATGTCAGAATCACCAGGGAAGAAGTCCTTTCTACACCCCTCCAGTCCCATCACACCATTTCCTACTTCATCTGCTTCATAAACTGATGTGGCCTCCAGGGTGGGGCTGAGATGTATCCTGGATTTGAAGAAAGGGAGGTTAATGTGGATAGGATGATATCCTTGGGAAGCCCAAGTCCTCAACCTGTCGGTTCATCTGGATCAGAACCAAACTGGCTGTGGAGGATGAGGGCCCCTTCCTTATCCATTTCTAGGCAGCATTTACTCCAAAATGGGCCACTCATCATCCCCAGCTGTCTGTCTAACCCAAAGTAGGAGAGGGTGTGGGAAAAGTCAGCTGCAGGACATTCCTTAGACTTCTCCATAGAGGTCCAAAGCTTATAGCCTAGTATTTCCAAGAATGCCCGAAAGCACTTCATAGTCAGTGTCTATAAAACCTTCCTAAAAATAACAGCTTCATAGAACTGACGTCTTACACTGTTGAAAAAGGACTCTCTGATTTGGTCCTATCTAAGATAAGGGACTCTCTGTAAGAATAAAAGCACGTGTCAAGAGAAAAACTAAACTGATTCCACAGGGACAGAAGACAGCTCTTCACAACAAAGTACCCAAGAGACTAAGAAAAGAACACGTAAGGGTGTCCCTCAGACATGGTCAACATCACAGGCTCAGACAGATGGATTTCTAAATCAATGTTTCTCTACACTGGTGTTTCTAGAACCTGCCTGACCATAAGAACTACCTAGAAGCTTTGTTTAAAAAATACAGATCCCCAGGACCCACTCCAGTCTTACAAAGTCAAAAACCTCAGGGGAGAGGTCTATGAACATACATACATACATACATACACTTATTTATAGTCAGCGAGCCCAGTAGGGTATCAAGTTTCATAAATGATACCCCCCCAAAATATGTAACTTTTAAAAAAACTTTGTAATTACGTTAACTGCAAAGTTACAAAGAATATGGGAAAATGCAGGTTCAATTAGACAAAGAGCCTTCTTTATCTAGTTAAAATTATAAAATATAGAGGCATCTGAGTGGCTCAGTAGGTTACGCGGCAAACTCTTGGGTTTCCGCTCAGGTTGTGATCTCATCCCACAACAGGCTCCACATTCAGTGGGGAGTCTGCTTGAAGATTCTCTCCCTCCCTCCCTTTCCCAGTGTGTGTGTGCACACACATGCACTTTTTCTATCTCTGTCTCTCTCTCTCTCTCTCCTACTCTCTCTCAGATAAATCTTTTAAAAATAAATACATAGAATAAAATTATGGAATATAGTCAACATATAATGAGGTAATCAACTTAACTAAAACTTACGAAAACAAAACCTACCCTTTAGGTCAATCATATCCCACCTCAGAGACCCTCCAGAACACTCTTCCTCTAAGGACTAAAGGGAAACACTACACAGCTATTCTGGGGGCCATTACCGGCCCTCAGTCTCATGCCAATAGAGACCAGCCCTAAGTAGCAGGCAACCAATTCAAAGTCAGACCCCAGAGGTGCCTCCTGGTTATCACACTTTACAAGTTCCAGCCTCCAGCTGACTAGTTCATAATCTTATTCGTAGCCCAGCTGCATGTGAAGCCTGGCTACTCAGAGTGTCTGCAACAGAACCGCCAGCATCAGCGCAGCAGGAAGCCTGCTAGAAACATGGAATCCCTGGCCCCACCTGAGCCTGCTGAAGCAGAATCTGCATTGTAACAAGATTCAGGTAATTCTTGTGCACACTGAAGTTTGAGTGTGTTGATGTGAGATTTTACCCCCATGTCATCAGCCTACCCACTTAAGCTCCAGACCCTCAAAGGCCTTCTTCCCTCAAGCTTTTCAGTCTTGGTTTGTCTTGGCGCCAAATCACCATGCACAGGGTACAACAACTAGCTGATGATCCAAAGCCCAACTTTTTAGGGAGTTAGAGTCAATAAATACTGATAATCTCTTACATTCTCCTCTGGCTCTTACATTCCTTAGAAGGCTGAAATACGGACCCCATGACCATAAATCAATAGAGACGATCCAAAGTCAAACAATACCATGGAATGCTGGCTCTCTTGATTCCAAGACATTGTTAATGAGGGCAAGGTCACGAGTATGATTAGCTTCCTCTGTACACTGGCACAGACTCCAACCCTCTACCCTTTGGCCGCCTACAAAGGCTGACACACCCCTGGTTACTAAGAGGACCCAGAAAAATGACAGGGGGAGGCTTAACAGAGCGGCACCAGCAAAAGAACTCCGAGAACTTCAATGACTGATGAGCAGAATGTATCGAGGAACACAACACACAGCCCAGAGGGTGGCTGACATGACCGATGACCACGTTAGAATTCAAAATTATCTGCAATGGGAAGTCCCACGGTCAAGACTGTAACAATCTCACACACACACCCGTAAGCAAGAGGAAATCTAACCTGATGGCACTTCTCATTTTAAAATGTTTTTAAAACACGCCAGTTGTATTGGCTAAAGTAGCTGCCAAGAACGCTAACATACTCTTAGGGTCCACGGGTCTAGTTTCGGGCCAGGGGAAGCAATGGCCCCTCCACAGCAAAGCAGTTCAGATGATCCCAAACAGTCCCCTGGCCACCTGGCCGCACAG